ACGTTTCGGCCACAACACAAATGGCCTTCATCAGGTGAAGGGACCGTGCTGTCATGAGGACAGCGTTGGAGTGAAAACAGCCAAGCCCAGGTCGCGTCCTTTAAGTTGTGTGGGAGGAAGCAAAACGCTTGACAAAGGAATTAGCATCGTGCTCATTTTTATGCTAATTCCTTTGTCAAGCGTTTTGCTTCCTCCCACACAGCTTAAAGGAAGCGACCTGGGCTTGGCTGTTTTCACTCCAACGCTGTCCTCATGACAGCACGGTCCCTTCACCTGATGAAGGCCACTTGTGTTGTGGCCGAAACGTCGTGATTTTTGTTATTTTATTTTTTTACCTACGTGACTTTACCGAATACAACCAAAGAGTATAGCTGCGAATATGCCAACCAATAATCAAGCACCAGTGTCGCAGTATTAACATGATCCATTGTAACCTATACGACTAGATTAACCCCCTCCTCTGCCCTTTGCACAGGATTTAGGCAGTTACATCCCCTTCACCCATCGCAGGAAGGCGTTCTTCACAATTCTGGCTGGACGCCGATTAAACCGATTGTATCGCCGGAGAAACGTCGTACTCATAAATTGTAAATGTTAATAGTTGACCCTCAACCGTTGTCTGAAAGTAGAACAAATCGCAACGTTTTCATTACGTGACAAACCTTACCAATTGGCTGCGTCGCGTTTAAACGACACATTTATTATTATGAGATCCCCCCCCCAAAAAAAAAAAAACGCCCCTTTTATTATGCAGAACGGAGATACAGGTACAAGCTCAGAAAAATAACCCGAGACCCCAAAAATTGAATTATTAACGGAGCAACTCGTCCACATGCGAATATCAAAAGCCACGTCTCACCTGGATCAGACTCTTGCCCTTATCCCCCATCAGGAAGCTCCTGAACTTCTCCTTTTTCAGACAATCTGCATTCTTATTGTCGTGGGCGAGTTCATTGAACGTGAACAGGAGCTCGAGCGTGGCTGCATGGAGGTCGCTCATCTTTGTAGGGGGAAAGATTTCACGGTCGAGTCCTCACCCGCGTGGAATCTGCGAGTACACGACAGACAGAAGCGAGACGGCCGTCAGTCCCGTGAAGACGATTACACACGGCATCCCATCTTAGCGCATCACAATGGGATGGCCCATAACACGACCTTAACCCCTGGCAACATCACGTAGCGCCTGCTTTGCTCGAGAGCGTCCCCCCCCGTCTGGCCTCATCAGCTGGGTACTGCTCTCAGCGAACCCACGTGTTGCACAGAGCCCCCACTACTACACAAGGCGTCTTTCACCAGCAGACGAGTGATGAGTTTATTTGATTTGGTCCCGTCTAGCCAGTTTCCCGGCTCATTTACATGGGAAGTCCGTGATGCGTGAGCACATCGGTAACAACAACTTCAACAGACAATAAACTATATTATGAATAAACTATATATAAACTATATATAAATAAAACTATATATAAAGACAATGAACTATATATAAAGACAATTGACTATATATAAAGACAATGAACTATATATAAAGACAATGAACTATATCTTCTTTGGTTCTTTCGGTAAAGTCACGTAGAATGAGAATAAAATAATAAATTGATAAAATAAAATAACACAATAATATTCTCACGACGTTTCGGCCACAACACAAGCGGCCTTCATCAGGTGAAGGGGCGAGACTGTCTGGTAGGACAGCGCTGGAGTGAAAGAGCCACGTTCAGATCACGGCCTTTAAGCTGTGTGAGAGGAGCAAAGCGCCTTGACAAAGGAATTAGCATATAATTTAGCATTGAAATGGCTGAATGATTAGCTTGTGACTGGTCACAGAAATAGCTATGTTAAAAGTTAAAGCATACACATCCGCAGAGGCACCCATTGTTAAAGGAATTAGCATAGAATTTAGCATTGAAATAGCTAAGTTAAGGCATACACATCCGCAGAGGCACCCCTTGACAATGGAATTAGCATAGAATTTAGCATTGAAATAGCTGAGTGATTAGCGTGTAACTGCTACAGAAATAGCTACGTTAAAGTCAGAGCATACACATTCACCGAGGCACTTAGTACAAATCAAACAGGAGAATTTAGCATTGAAATAACTAGGCGAATTTAGCATTGAAATAACTGAGTGATTAGCTAGTGACTAGTCACAAAAATTACTACACATCTGAGCTATTCACAGTACTATATAGTGAACCAATAAAAACTAAAATATAAATTACCTTCATGCTATCAATAAACTCTATATTCTCCAATCAGCTAAGCTACCAACAATAAGTCGTTATATATCACAATGCTATATGGCGAAAAAATGGGTGGATTCTTACCCTCAAATTTCAGCACCACGGATAGCTACGGGCCCCGTTCAGACGGACGAGTTCGTCCATGGTCGGAACAGAGGAGGGGGAGAGAGACAGCTGCGAGGCCCTAGTATACTCCATGTTGTAAAACTATACCATTAACCGTGGTGTGAGAGGTATTAAGAGGCAATGCTGGCGAAAGAGCTGCGGTCTGAAGGTCATTGTAAAATAATGAACTATATATATAAAAAATGAACTATATATACTATATATGAAGACAATGAACTATATTAACTATTTATAAAGACAATGAACTATATGTAAAGACAATGAACTATATATGAAGACAATGAACTATATTAACTATTTATAAAGACAATGAACTATATGTAAAGACAATGAACTATATATGAAGACAATGAAATATAAATACAGACAATAAACTATATATAAAGACAATTAACTATAAAGACAATGAACTATATATAAAGACAATGAACTATATATAAAGACAATGAGCTATATATAAAGACAATGAGCTATATATAAAGACAATTAACTATATATAAAGACAATTAACTATGTATAAAGACAATGAACTATATATAAAGACAATGAACTATAAAGACAATGAACTATATATAAAGACAATGAACTATATATAAAGACAATGAACTATAAAGACAATGGACTATATATAAAGACAATGAACTATTTTTAAAGACAATGAACTATATATAAAGACAATGAACTATATATAAAGACAATGAACTATAAAGACAATGGACTATATATAAAGACAATGAACTATTTTTAAAGACAATGAACTATATATAAAGACAATGAACTATATATAAAACAATGAACTATAAAGACAATGCACTATATCTAAAGACAATGAACTATAAAGACAATGAACTAAATATAAAGACAATGAACTATATAGAAAGACAATGAACTATATATAAAGACAATTAACTATATATAAAGACAAGGAACTATGTATAAAGACAGTTAACTATAAAGACAATGAACTATAACGACAATGAACTATAAAGGCAATGAACTATATAAAGACAATGAATTATAAAGACAATGAACTATAGAGACAATGAACTATAAAGACAATGAACTATAAAGACAATGAACTATATAAAGACAATGAATTATAAAGACAATGAACTATAAAGACAATGAACTATAAAGGCTATGAACTATATATAAAGACAATGAACTATATATAAAGACAATGAACTATAAAGACAATGAACTATATAAAGACAATGAACTATAAAGGCAATGAACTATAAAGACAATGAACTATATATAAAGACAATGAACTATAAAGACAATGAACTATATATAAAGACAATGAACTATATGTAAAGACAATGAACTATATATGAAGACAATGAAATATAAATAAAGACAATAAACTATATATAAAGACAATTAACTATAAAGACAATAAACTATATATAAAGACGATGAACTATATATAAAGACAATGAGCTATATATAAAGACAATGAACTATATATAAAGACAATGAACTATATTAACTATTTATAAAGACAATGAACTATATGTAAAGACAATGAACTATATATAAAGACAATGAACTATAAAGACAATGAACTATATATAAAGACAATGAACTATATATAAAGACAATGAACTATAAAGACAATGGACTATATATAAAGACAATGAACCATTTTTAAAGACAATGAACTATAAAGACAATGCACTATATCTAAAGACAATGAACTATAAAGACAATGAACTAAATATAAAGACAATGAACTATATATAAAGACAAGGAACTATATATAAAGACAATTAACTATATATAAAGACAAGGAACTATATATAAAGACAATGAACTATAAAGACAATGAACTATAACGACAATGAACTATAAAGACAATGAACTATATAAAGACAATGAATAATAAAGACAATGAACTATAAAGACAATGAACTATAAAGACAATGAACTATAAAGACAATGAACTATATAAAGACAATGAATTATAAAGACAATGAACTATAAAGACAATTAACTATAAAGGCTATGCACTATAAAGACAATGAACTATATATAAAGACAATGAACTATAAAGACAATTAATTATATATAAAGACAATGAACTATAAAGACAATGAACTATAAAGACAATGAACTATATAAAGACAATGAACTATAAAGACAATGAACTATATATAAAGACAATGAACTATAAAGACAATGAACTATATATAAAGACAATGAACTATATATAAAGACAATGAACTATAAAGACAATGAACTATAAATACAATGAACTATGAAGACAATGAACTATAAAGACAATGAACTATAAAGACAATGAACTATAAAAACAATGAACTATAAAGACAATGAACTGGGAGGCGCGTGCCTCGCGGGCCCGCCATTGTCATCGAGCGGGGCGATTGATGGACGGAGGAGTGGAGGAGTTTGCACGGAGACATCGTCACTGGCAGCCAAGACCACAGCCTCTGCGGTGACTAAAATTACCAATAAATGAGATGCCCGCGTTTTCACTTCAGAATTTGATTCATACTGGAGTACGCACGTGGGCCGGCAGTGGTGTCGTGGTTTGCTCACTGGATGTGGAATGCAGAGGTCTTCGGTTTGATCTCCCAGATGAATCAATGCCCACTCAGCATTGTAACGAGGCACACCACAAGTATTTGATCAGTGTGTTTTGCCGGCAGTGGCTTGACCAACATTTTAACAGCAGTAGCTTCACAAGGTTGCATCGTTACCTTACACCTACTGCATGTCAGTCCAGGGAATATGAACTCAGATTATTATTGTCAAATAGCCGGTTAACTGGCTGAACGGGACCAATCAACTGAACTCATCATTCAATCGCACATTGAGAGCGAGCACGTGTTACTGATGACGTCACTGGCCGCGCTTCATTAAATCCGCGACGTGGGCAGAAGAGGTTGCTGTTGAAGCCCCAGGCGTCACGTTCAGGTCTCTGCGCCGCTACCGCTGCTGTGTTGGAGGGGGAGAGGGGGAGAGCGAGAGAGCGAGGATCTCTGCAACGCGTGGGTGTTTTGCTGGGATCGTTGAGAGCAAGTGCGCAAGTCGAGCTGAGAACGAGGTCATGGCAGGACTCGCTGGCTCTGGAACAAAAAGGACGCCACGTGACGTTGCCGGTATTTCGGTCGTGTTGTTGCCCATCGCGTTGTGATGCGTACAATGAGGCGTCGTGTGTAATTGTCTTCCTGGGACTGACGTCTGTCTCGCTCTGTCTGTCGTGCCCTCGCAGATTCCTCTCGCGTACCGACTCGACCGCGCGTCTTCCTCTGCCAAGATGAGCGACCTCCATGCAGCCACCCTGAAGCTCCTGTCCACCTTCAATGAGCTCGCCCACGACAACGCTGTCAAAGATTGTCTGAAGAAGGAGAAGTTCAGGAGCTTCCTGAAGGGGGATAAGGTCAAGAGTCTGATCCAGGTGAGACCGTGGCTTTTGATATTCGTCTGGACCAGTACCTCCCGTTAGTGAATCCCATTTTGGAGTCTCCGGTTTTTAGCTTTCAGCTTGTAGCCTTCATCCGTTTTTCTGCGTAAATGGTTATATTGGGATACATCGTGAAAATATAAATGCATCGTTATACCCGACCGCCAAATTGCTAAGGTTTGTCGCGTAAACAAAACGTGCCAATTGGTTACTCCAGCATACCAATGTGGCGCGCAAACCCACCGTTACAATTTCGGTGACGTTTTGTTGGTAATTACAATTGGCTTCATCAGGCGCCAGCCAATTGTGAAGATAGTCCCGTCAACGTCTTAAGCGGGGATAAAGATGATGTCATCGCTCTGTGCTTATCGGATGCGAAGACCAGAGGTGGGTTAATGTAGTCTTATAAGTTACAATGGATCGTGTTCATCTGCGAATGCAGTACCTAATGTGTAATGCATGTCCATTATGTTATCTGGGCATATGCAGTATATATTCTTGACTGCTCACATTTTTAATCGACATGAAGTGGAATCGCCTGCATTAACGTGCAAGTAAACCGCATATCACTTGGATTGCTGTGTATTTTACCCGTGTTCTGCAGTTTTAGCAGTCGATCCAGCTCCAGTCCTAACGCTTGCTGTTGCGATTCCATTCAGAATCCCGTGGATGGGTTCGTGGTGAGCCGCATCCTGAGGGACCTTGATGATGACAAAGATGGGGAAGTCGACTTCCTCGAGTTCGTGATCACGATCGCGTCCTTGAAATTCTGCTGCCACCCCAACTTCCGGGCGCACCACGAGCAGAATGGCAGGCTGCACGCGCTGTGCGCATTCAAAGAGTAACGTGGCTGTTGCATCATCCGGATATAGTGCTATAAAATAAACATTGTGGTTGCATCCAATGTGGCTTCCTTGTGACATTCTACTCGGTATAAAAACGACCTCTGTCTTGCTGCACTGCCATTTGCGATGGCCACAATGGGACGTGCCAGGAATTGATTTTCTTTAACACGTAGGCTTTCGTGACCAATATTATTCATAAAGGTTTTTGGGTTGGATCTCGTTATTTATAAATGTGTCTAGTCATCTCTGCCTCACGAGGTTGCCAAAATAATTGAATAGCAAAGTTCCAAAAGTAAATATTAGCTCTAACGATGCAAAAGCCTTAATAGAGCTCCGTGTAAATAAATATATTCAAATCCTAGCAGCTGATAAAGGCCGCACTACTGTAGTGATGTCACGAGCCAATTATGATAATATCATTAGAAATTTACTAGAGGAAAGTACCTACATTCAAATTAAACGAGATCCAACTAATCCTTTAGAACGTAAGACTACTGCAATAATTGCAAATTCATTAATACTTAAGAATGAGCAATACCAAATTAAGCGAAGGGCCTCGAAACCACCTAGACTGTATGGGCTACCAAAGATTCATAAAATCGGCATCCCATTACGACCCATAGTCGGTACAATTGGCTCTACCACATAGAAATTATCAAAATAAATAATTAAACAAATACAGCCCTACATCGGTAGGACATCTTCATAAGAAATTCAGAACATCTTGTGAATGTGAATGAAGATATTAAACTTAACCCTAATGATATTCTGGTAAGTTTTGAAGTGATTTCTTTATTCACTAAGGTTCCAGTGAACCAATCGCTGAAATTACTTAATACACTAGTAAAGAATACAGGTATACCAAAATATATTCTGAAACTTGCTGACCATTGTTTAAATAACACTTCTTATGGAGAGGGGATTTCTTTAAACAAAAGGAAGGAGCAGCAATGGGCTCTCCTTTATTGCCTGCTATAGCAAATATGTACATGGAAAACCTTGATATAAGAGCACTTGCCTCGAGCACATTAAAACCATATTTTTGGTTTAGATATGTGGATGACATTTTGGTTGTCTGACCACATGGTAAAGATACACTTAATGATTTTCTAAATCATCTCAATGCACAAAACCTGGCCATCCAGTTAACCATGGAAATGGAGGTGAATAACACTCCCGTTCCTAGATATTTTGCTTGGACATGGCCTAAACGGTAAAATAACACAGCGTTTACAGAAAGCAAACGCACACTGATGCCTATCTGAATGCAGATTCGCATCATCCAGCTCAGAAATCCTCTTATCAAGACGCTCGTACATCGGGCTAAAACAGTGTCAGATGGTGAAAGTCTAGTGAGAGATCAAACATGTTAAAGAAGCATTACGACAGAATAGCTACAATAATACTCAAATTAACAGAGCACTGAATGCCAAATCACGATCGCAAAGCAACACTGCTGAAAGCGATCAGATTGTTAAAACAATAAAAATTCTATATATATCAGGAGTAACTGACAAATTAGCCCGTGTTTTGCAAAAGCAAAACATTACAGTAAGATTTGATACAGTACACAATTAAAAAACTAGTATCTTGCACTAAAGACGAATTACCTAAATTATCAACAAGGTGTATATCGGATTAACTGTTTATGTAGCAAATGCTATATTGGACAGACAGGACGTAACATCAGCATAAGACTAAAAGAACACCAAAGAAATAATACATTCTCAAACACAACTGTCGGCAGTGGCAGAACATGCTTGTCAACAAGGGCAATTGATTTTGATAACGTTTAAGAAGTTGTGTAAAACTAATTATTACTGGCAAAGACTAATGAGAAAATCCATTGAAATTGAGAGAAATAGAAATAACTTTAATCGCTTTGACAGCTACAGGCTTAGTGCGGCTTGGAAGCGTATTATTAAATAATACATACAATTCCTTATAGGGGAAACATACTAATTAACGGATTACTAACGTAGCATATAATCACAATAACACATTGCAACTAATTACTAATCTACAACTCATTACTAATAACCATTGACTGATTACCAATCGATTATATAATTACAATACCCCCCCTCCGCCTCAAATCACTGCATCTGAATGAGTTAAATGATGACGTCACCCTTCTGCTCTATTTAAGACCGGGAGCACGTGAGGGCTTTACCATTCTGGCAAATTTCCCGATGCTGGATGTAATTACCAGCGAAACGTCGTACTCAAATTTTAAATGTTGATTAACTCAACACACCGGTGGGCTAAAGTAGTGAACTATTTTGTCTTTTGTCAACGTGACACATTTTTTACTGTTTGGCCGTGTCGGGTGGTGGAGGGTTACGACACATTTATAAATAACGCGATCTAACCCAAAAACCTTTATTATGAATTGAATTTCTTGCTTGCAGTTCTGTGGTTTGACTGAAAGGATTAATGCAGTTGTGACGTAGGATGGGTTTCTCGGTTATATTGTACACCACTCCGAATTTTCGTTTGGCAAAAAAACTTTGAGTTGCAAGTATCTTGTTTTCTTGCAGATTTCTCAATGTCGCAAGCTAGCCTTTTTAATCAAAGACCGCGATGGCACTAATGCTTTAACATAGCGATTATACAGTAGATCATCCTGGAATGCAGGGTACGTTTTTTTTCATCCTGGAGGCAGAAGTTGAATTTTTCTTACTGGGTATTCCACCAGACGTTCCCAGAAACTCAACACTATTAGCTTGGGTCTCCACATCTGGTCAGTACCCCAAGCGTCGGATCCAACTTACCAGTATGTGGTGACCAGTTGACGGCTCTGCCCCTCTCTTCTCCCGAGTGCCCATAACATACAGCCTTAGATCCGATGGTACAACTACAAAATCAATCCTTGACCTTTGGCCCAAGGTGATTTGGTTCCAAGTACACTTATGAGCATCCTAGTGTTCATACATGGCGTTTGTTATTGACATTCCGTGACTAGGGCATAATTCCAATAACATCTCACTGTTCGGGTTCAGATCGGGAGGCCATTCCTCCCAATCACACCTCTCCGGGTATCGCCATCATTTCCCACGTGAGCAACAAGACTACAAAGTTGATGGGTGCAGTGCTCAATACTGCCACCTATCTCTACAAAGGCCGAATACTCAACTGCTGTTTGGTGCATAAGCACAGACAAATCATACTTTCATCGAGACCCGAAATCTCATTGTGGCGACCTTCTCATCCACTGGGACAAACTCCAACTGAACAGCACCCAGCCAGGGGCTTGCGAGTATCCTCCAATCCACCCGGGGCCTCTCGCTAGGAGTGACTTCGGAATGGGCAATAGACCACCACCAATTAAGCAGTTCGGTTTTATTGCCAATGCTGTGTGGTCGGTACCTGTCCACCTCCTGCGACTCCATTAGACCACCTTCCATTCCACGCACACCAGTTGTAGGTGGCTTTGCCTACAAAATGTTGCGGTTATGGTAACATTTGAGGGGACATACCCGTTGCAGGTTTATTGTAATGTTTGGCGTTGTATTGTGGTTGTAAAGAGCCATTTTGCCTATATTTAGACACGTGTTACCAACGTAAATATATCCGTTACATTGCCATCGGTTTATCATTGATTGATAGGGTAGCGTGTCAAAGAAATATGCAACGAATCTATTTTACGTGCAACCACAGATTTTAGCCCGCGAAAATGCAAAGGGCATACCAATTTCAGAATACAACCGGACAGCCCATCCTACCAATTACTTGTGCGACAAATTTGAATTATTTTCGTTATGAAGTCACAGACCGGCAAGCAATGAATCAATTCCTGGCACGTTCCGGATCGCAATACTGTCTGGTAGTTGTCCATTGCAAACGGCAGTACAGAAATACCACTGCAGTAGTTTTTATAACCAGCGTACAAAGTCATAGGCACGCCACGTTGATGCAACCACAATGTTTATTTCACAGTATCCGTATCATGCACGAGACGCGTTACACTTTGAATGCGCACAGCGCGTGGGTCCTGCCATTCCGCTCGTGGTGCGCTCGGAAGTTGGGGTGGCAGCAGAATTTCAAGGTCGCGATCGTGATCACGAACTCGAGGAAGTCGACTTGCCCATCTTTGTCATCGCCAAGGTCCCTCAGGATGCGGCTCACCACGAACCCATCCACGGGATTCTGAAATGGAATCACGACGGGGAGAGGGGGACAAGGAATCCGCCTGGATTTAGAGACGACAGACTGCAGAACACCGGCAAAATCTTTAGCAAGTGAAACTGGAGCGGCTCACAACGGTCGCACACGCAGAGCAGCCCAGCATATAGAAGCGTATCGCAATGCACCATTCACAAACACGCATAAGTCAGGCAAATGGCGGATTAAAAAAAACTGCACTCAAAATTTGGCACAGGTGAATTACCCAAACTACAGAGTAGACCGGATTACTTCCACATGTGGCAGGGGCAATGTTGGCCAGGAGGGGATGAAAATTTTTGCATGAAATTCAAAAGCGGTCAGAAGTTGCGCCACATGCCTGCCGAAAAAGGAGGCGATTAACATTTGATACCACATCGATGTGGCGTGCAGAGTTAATGAGCATGTGCCACGAGGGTACTGGACGCCTTTCCCCCAGAGCGATGTTAACTAAACGGGTCGAGATGATAATATGAATGCGCTCGACCTTTGAAGCAAGGCATGGGATCAGCTGGGACGGGCGACTGCATGAACAGCTGGCGCTGTAGGCAATCGGGAGACGACTCGAGCATGAAAGCCACGGTTCTAGACACGCTTTTAACTCACTTAAAATGTTCCCAGGTTAAACTCACACTGCCAATAATGGAATAATTGGCGTTACGCCAAAAAACGCGTGAGAAAGACCCTCATTGAGCAGTGGACTGTACGCGTACATGGTCAGCAAAAAGGTACGATCCCAAATAAATAAGACCAAAAATGGGATGATAAATGGAGGGACTCGTCGATGCGAAAGTGAAAAATGCGTCTCACCTGGATCAGACTCTTGCCCTTATCCCCGTCCAGGAAGCTCCTGAATTTCTCTTTCTTCAGACAATCTTTGACAGCGTTGTCGTGGGCGAGCTCATTGAAGGTGGACAGGAGCTTCAGGGTGGCTGCATGAAGGTCGCTCATCTTGGCAGAGGAAGACGCACGGTCGAGTCGGTACGCGAGAGGAATCTGCGAGGACACGAGACAGCCACAACGAGAGTCTTCAAAATCACGTTAAGACAACGCACACTGCACCTCAAATGTGACGAAGCGAAAAAAAAAACCGACCGAAACATCGCGTAGAGCCCCAGCTTTGTTCCAAACACAATTCGTGTTGGGTCTAAACCTCAGCCAGCGCTGCGCACTGCTCCCATCGAACCGAGGCAAAACACCCACGCGTCACAGAGATCCCCACAGCACACGGCATCTTCCACAACACAGCAGCTGCGCAAAGACCTGAGAGCGACTTCTGCGACTTGAACAACAACGCCTGCTGCTGCTGCAGCCTCCGTCGCGGCTTTTATGAAGCGCGTCCAGTAGCGTCACCACTCACACCTGCTCGCTCTCGTTGCGCGATGGAGTGATGATTATGTTGTTGATTGGTCCCGTTCATCCGGTTTCCCGGCTAATGCGCAAGTTGAGGTCTGAGCACAGAAGCAGCAACAACATCAACAGACGATTAACTGGGAGGCGCGTTCCAAGCGGGCCCCAACATTGTCATCATGCGGGCGCTTGATGGAGGGTGAGTGGAGGAGTTCGCACGGGGACGATTTAAATTAAATCTACATCGTCACTCGCAGCCGACACCACAACCCCTGCTGTGATAATTGTACGCAATTGAGATGCCCGCGTGATCACTTAATGATTTCACTGATATGTACATTATATGTACGTGGATCTGCCGTGGTGCCAAGGTTTGCTCACTGGATGTGTTATGCAGAGGTCTTCGGCTTGAACTCCCCTGGCGGCAGTTAAACCCTTGCCCACCCAGCATTTTAAAGAGGTACACCACATCTTGATTTGAAGCTTTCGTGACCGCAGGAATCCATACTGTTTGGTTCTTTCGGTAAAGTCACGTAGGTAGAAAAAAATATATTTGTATAATATATATTTTACCTACGTGACTTTACCGAAAGAACCAAAGAGTATCGATAGACCACGGGTATATGATCAGATATGTTTTGACAGCAGTCGCCTGACCAACATTCTGACACCTCCTGTATGTCAGAGCAGGTGATGTGAACTGAGATTATTGTTAACGGAAAATTGATGACAATGTGTGGACTGCGTCAAACTGTGTTCAACGATGAGAACACGTGCCACGTGCCCCTATTAGAACTACGAACGACCATAATAGAGGGCAGCTTGATCGTGATTGGTGTGGAGTTAGGGGCCGTCCATAAATGACGTCACGCGATTTTGGACGATTTTTGACCCCCCCCCGCCTTCGTCACACGGCGTCACAATAGTTAGACCCCCCCTCAAATATGACGTCATAAAGTTCTGCCCCCCCCCCCCAAAAAAAAATAAAACATGCTTCAAATCGCTTTAAACTATTGCCATGGTAGTGCGTATTTCATGTGGCGCTGCACTCTGATGTTGTAGGAGAAAACACTTATTAATAAGTGTATTTAATTAAGTAGAACGTGTTGTCTATATTTATTTCAAGTTGCGCATTTTGATGTGACGTCACATTTCTCAAACCCCCCCTCCCCCCTCGTCACACATCGTCACAAATGTCTGACCCCCCCCCCCCGGCCCCCCCAGGTGCGTGACGTCATTTATGGACGGCCCCTTAGCCGCTGGGATGCCGTCACAGGCGGCAAGACTCGTGTTGCCCCCGCGGGGCTGGGAAAAGAACAGAGCCCTGATTAATATTTAGCCTGGCAAAAGGTTTTATATCACTCGTTCATAAAGCCTGCCTTCGCTAGGAAAACGTTTTCAATAATAATTAACCTGATGACGGACGCGTGTGTTGTGCCCGAAACGTCGTGTTATTATTATTATCTATCTACGTGACTTACCGAAAGAACCAGTGTAATAATTAACCTCAAATTATTTTGGCAATTTTTATCTACGATCAGACACTAACTACTCAAAAATGAATGAACTTAATACTCTGAGGGAAAGCTCATATATTTTACGGTTTTTTAATTGATCAGATTTGAACATCATAAAATGCGTATTTTTTTCGTTCAAAACCGCTTGAATCTGAAATATCTGAAAAGCAATAAAAGATAGGACAATGGTTCTCCCTCTCATTTTATTTGCCGTTTAACGCTTTACAAAACAAAAAAGCCCCCACAATATTATTTTTTGAAGTTTCTGTATGACACGCACAAACATGTTTTAGGGCACTTCAAATCGAGATTTGGGGGCCTTAAAATGAAATATCTCGGATTTTCAGATGTTACCTATCGTCTTAGAAGCTACCTATGTACTAAAATGCAGCTTTCTGCCATGTCGGGAAGTACCCAAACACCCTAGATTGGTGTTGTGTATTTTTCTTAAATATTATCAGTATACATTGGTTTTATTCGGAATAAAGTCTTACCAAACTCAATTGTATTAACAAGTACAATAATGGGATATTGCACGCACATCACATTATAACTGTTGTAATTATTTCAATTGAACCGTCATGAGTAAATTCTACTTATTGATGCATTCCTTGGCCCAACCGCTATTTCAACAGGTTGAGACCAGTTCTCGAGAACACTTTCAAGTGTTAGAATTACTTTTAGTTACTAGTTTCCTTCATTGTAATTTTTATCAATATATCTTCATTAAAATTTTGATTTAAAGCTTTCGTGACTGCAGGGATTCATATTCTCGGTTCTTTCGGTAACGTCGCGTAGAAGGGAAACAGAAAAATAATAAAAATATAAAGCAATAAAATTATCACGACGTTTCGGCTGCAATACAAGCAATCATCATCAGGTGTGAATACCACAGCAAGAAAAATTTGAAAAAAGTGGCGGTTTTTTTTTACGCTAGCACCACGGAGAGCGATTTGATTGTTCACGATTACGGTGGCTTTCAGACCGCATCCATTATTTTCGTCTCCCCCCTCCTTTTCCGAACATAGATGGACTCGTCCATCTGAATAACTGCCAAATCGCTCTCCGTGGTGCTAACGTAAAAAAAATCGCCACTATTTTCAAAAATTTCTTGCTGTGGTTTTCACACCTGATGATTGCTTGTGTTGCAGTCGAAACGTCATGAGAATTTTATTATTTTATATATTTTTTATTTTATTGTTTCCCTTCTACGTGACTTTACCGAAAAAAAACAAGAATAGATTTTAGTTAGTTTATTTTTAGGCCTTGCATTACAATTGAGAAGTCATGCTATGTACACTGTTTTAGTAGGCGTTACACCACATGAAACTATCGCTCAATAATTAAAACAGATTTACGTTAAGGTGAAGTTCAGTCCTGCGGGATGAAAGGAATTCGGTATGAACGAAGCAGACTTGAACCCTTTAGTCACATTCCCACAATAACGCAAGACAAGGACATGCACCAACATCCGAGGTCATCTATAAACAAATTCACACGTGTCCAACCATTATCTGGATTTCATACTTGGTATGTTCGAGTGAAACATGCAAAACACTGCGCTTTCTGGGGACTTGGGCGATATTGTGAAAAGTCTGCTAATATGCAAAACTAGTTTTTATTATTCAAACTAGCTGCACTACCCGGCTTCGCCCGGGACTTGGATTCACCACACCCGGCCGCCTTTGTCTCCCCAGTGGCGATGTTCACACAAGTTACTCGTTTGAGGCCGAGTCGACCTAGGGGAGGCCCAGGACCGGTTCAAATAATCGTCACCGGTGGTGGCCGTGAGCAGGAATCGAACTCGGGTCGCCGGGTTCGTAGCACGGCGCGCTAACCGCTACACTACAATGCGTTACGCTTCCACATTCGAGGGACGTGACAGATTTGACGTCACAGCTCACTTGCCGTGCAAAGAATATATGCATTATTTTTGCATGGTGTACAGTCTGGAAAGTACCCACATGGCAAATCAAGTTTGTTGCATGTCAGGAAGTACGCTAAACATTTTGAACACACACACACATTCACAACTTTGCTTTTTATGAGATGAACGTGCCGAAATCCTTAAAGAAAATGTAAAGAAACTGCAACTCTCTTTTCTACCCCCCCCTCCTCCCATTTCAGATACTTGGAACGGTAAAAAAAGGCTGGAAATCAGCCCTAAAGCCACCTTCCAAAGCACACGGTGGTTGCGGTTATGATGCCAATTGTGGGAACGGGGCTTTTGCGATAATAATGTTTGGAGGTTGTAAAAAAAAAAACAGATAACCATCTTGGTAATATTTAGAATCGCGCTGTTGATATTGCGCATAAACCTCGTTAAAGCAATCGAGCATAAAATTAATAGATTTGGTTAACTTCAGTCATCCTTCCAGTTATGAAACCACAACTTAAAGCATTAAATGGATTCCTGGCATTCCATATCGCTAGACGTATCGTGGTAGCCGCCCATCGTGGACATTGCAAAGGACAGCGCATGGATGACCACCGCGGCTGTTTCTATACCCAGAGTAAAGTGAAACGCGCCACGTTGATGCAACCACAATGTTTATTTCACAGCATCCGTATCATGCACGAGACGCGTTTACTCTTTGAATGCGCACAGCGCGTGGGTCCTGCCATTCCGCTCGTGGTGCGCTCGGAAGTTGGGGTGGCAGCAGAATTTCAAGGCCGCGATCGTGATCACGAACTCGAGGAAGTCGACTTCCCCATCTTTGTCATCGCCAAGGTCCCTCAGAATGCGGCTCACCACGAACCCATCCACGGGATTCTGAAATGGAATCACAACAGCAAGAGTTAGACAAGACTGGACCGACTGCTAAAACTGCGGAACACGGGGTAAAAAGCTACAGCAATCAAGTGAGACACGGTTTAATTTTATGCCAACACAGGCAATTCTAGCACGTTGATTAACAAAGCCTACCACAATAAATGTACTACAGTCGCAAAATTAAACAGGATCCATTCGAGCTTATAAGACTACATTAATCCCCTACTTGTATCCGCCCCGGGTTATAGGCAGTCAGAAATCATCTTGCAGGCCGAAACACCACTTGGCACAATCATAGCTATCGCCTCAAAAGGCGATTAAAAAAAAAAGCAAATCACCAATCGTCGTACTCGATAGTACATCTTGCGAGCTCTCCAACACACCGGTGTGCTAAAGTAGCAACTGATCGGCACGCTTTACGTAACACCCCTCACCAATTTGGCCGTGTCCAGTTTAACAGGCATTTGTATTTGCGTGGGCCAATCCAGAAACCTTCATTATGCAGAAAACGGAGATTAGAGGGGTACAAGTCCAAAACCGGAGCCTTAAATGGGATCATGAACATAGGGACTGTTCCATGCGAATATCAAAAGCCACGGTCTCACCTGGATCAGACTCTTGCCCTTATCCCCATTCAGGAAGCTCCTGAACTTCTCCTTCTTCAGACAATCTTTAACCGCGTTGTCGCGGGCGAGCTCATTGAAGGTGGACAGGAGCTTCAGGGTGGCTGCATGGAGGTCGCTCATCTTGGCAGAGGAAGACGCGCGGTCGAGTCGGTACGCGAGAAGAATCTGAGAGTTCACGACAGACAGAGCTAGACAGACGTCAGTCCCAGGAAGACAATTACACACGACGCCTCATTGTACGCATCACAACGCGATGGGCAACAACACGACCGAAATCCTGGCAACGTCACGTGGCGTCCTTTTTGTTCCAGAGCCAGCGAGTCCTGCCATGACCTCGTTCTCAGCTGGACTTGCGCGCTTGCTCTCAACGATCCCAGCAAAACACCCACGCGTTGCAGAGATCCTCGCTCTCCCCCCCCCAACACAGCAGCGGTAGCGGCGCAGAGACCTGAACGTGACGCTTGTAGCTTCAACGACAACCTCTTCTGCCCACGTCGCGGATTTTATGAAGCGCGTCCAGCGACGTCACCACTCACACCTGCTCGCTCTCATTGCGCGATCGCGTGTCGAGTTCATTTGATTTGGTCCCGTTTAGCCAGTTTCCTGGATATTTTCCCAACAATATATTTGGTGCGTGAGCAGAGCAGCAACAGGAACAAAATGCGATTAACTGGGAGGCGCGTGATACGCGATCCCCCCCCCGCCCCAACCTCATTGTGATGAAGCGTGCCCTTGGTCGACGGAGGAGGCGAGGAGTTGAAGATATTGCACGGAGATAATTCAATGATAATTGTTAATTTAACACGTAGGCTTTCGCGACCAATATTATTCGTAATAAAGGTTTTTGGGTTAGATCGCGTTATTTATAAATGTGTCGTAACCCTCCACCACCCGACACGGCCAAACAGTTAAATGATGACGTCACCCTGCTGCTCTATTTAAGACCGAGAGCAAGTGAGGGCTTCACCATTCTGGCGAATTGCCCGATGATGCTGGATGTAATTACCAGCGAAACGTCACAGTATTCACATTTTAAATGATGTGGATTCACTCTTCAACACACCGGTGGGCTAAAGTAATGAACTATTTGTCCTTTGTAAGCGTGACACATTTTTTTACTGTTTGTCCGTGTCGGGTGGTGGAGGGTTACGACACATTTATAAATGACGCGATCTAACCCAAAAACCTTTATTATGGATAATTGTTAAATTTGCATCGCCACTCGCGGTAATCTGGCATAGGCGGCGTGACGCGTGTCGCCTGACATGCAAACACTCAGATAACATGGTCAGACTGAATTTTCATACAAATTATATCTTGATTTCATATCCCAGCACGAGTGTGTGAACTCTTGACCTCCCTCTTCTCAACTGCTCACGTTAGAGATGAGGGCTGTAATCCCCATTGCCTCTACCTAAACTGTCAAGTATCACCACGGTCGTCCTTTTTTTTATTAGACGCGTTTATGACACACTTTTATTTGAATTGCCCTGTTGTCTGTTTATCAATTTTCAAATCTTTGACGCTTAATTTCTTCGGATCTTCGAAGTCTAACGGGCGTGAAAATCAAGATTTTATTTACAGAACCGTCCAGGTCCACCGATCCTTGGACTCTTCGTGTTTGTTTACTTATTTTTTTTATTGCACTATTTCAAATATATAAAATTATCCAGACAACAATGAAGCGGTGTTATTGTATGGATTGAGATCTTAGAATTAATATGTACATATTCAAACATATACAAAACATTCAAGTAAATTAGGTAACAAACACGTTTTTCAATGCACACACGTTTATTTGCGCTCAAAAAGTAAAAAAAAACATTATTTTGACCCCAGAATTAATAACATTTGATGTGCTGAATAAAAGTAGGTAGTTTCCTTTCGATATGTTTCATTTTATTTATGCAAGCCACCCACTCAAGCATCAACCAAGCCCCGAGCAGCACAGTACCGCCATCAGGTTCTAAGAAGTCGAAGGCATATTATTGCTACGCGCATTACATATATACATTTTATTTTCGCCTACGTGACTTTACCCAATAGAACCAAAGAGTATGGAGCCTAGAGGGTGTCCCAGTGTGTATACGGGTGAAGGGGCCGGTTCCCCTTCTCAGTGTAACCCTGCCAACCTTTGAATAAATAGTGCTGCCTCTACTTCACCGTGTCCCGTGAACCCACTACAGATGTTAAGGTCAATAGCAACATCCAGGATGCAAGACAGATCAGTCGGCATCTGCCACTGAACACCTGAATGTGAAATTGTAGTTGTTGCTCTGCATATACATCAACCATATGAAAGAAGAAGATTGACCAAACAATTTTGTTCCGAAATATATATGGAGACATACCGAATGCAAAAAAAGTGATTGGATCATCTTGAGTGAAATAACGCAGTTTCAAGTCAGGTAACAACTAAGCAGAAGAGATGTCAATTGACATACCTTCGTTTGTAACTAATTATTTTGCTGAAACAGCGTTGGCAGTGGTACAAAATAATTAATAACACACTTCACATTCGTCAATAGCACAGCCTTAAAATAAAATCGCTGGTATTTTAGGCAATGGCCTTTCTTCATTGCACAGAGGCACTGAATAACAGGGTGGATACGAGTTGGTGACTGCGCTTGACACGATGAGGTCTGAAAAAAATACACTTGAAAAATGTTTCATGAATAACAGATTTTCAATTTCGATTTAAAGCTTTCGTGACTGCAAGGATTCATCTTTTTGGTTCTTTCGGTAAAGTCACGTAGAATGAGAATAAAATGATAAATTGATAAAATAAAATAACACAATAATATTCTCACTCCAGCGCTGTCCTACCAGACAGTCTCGCCCCTTCACCTGATGAAGGCCGCTTGTGTTGTGGCTGAAACGTCGTGAGAATATTATTGTGTTATTTTATTTTATCAACAGTTTTTCAATTGCCATATGAAACCGAGTAACAGCCATTGAAAAACAGGAACGCCCTTCAAATAATAAGAAACATTACTTCAAAAACACATTCATATATTAAAAAAACAAGTTAATTAATTAAGTGTTGTGGCGTGGTTTTCATTCAACTACCATTCGACTAATCCACTTTGTGATGCATTCCAAGGATAACGAACCCGGCCCCTTCCTGGCCTTCGCCACGATGGTAACGCATGCACACAGCGGTCTAGCGCGCTGGGCATAGGCCCTGGTGCGAGGAAGGAATACAAACGAGGCCCCCTGTCCAATTCCCCTGCCACTCTACGTTTAGATCTGCGCCTCGGCCCCTCCCGTCGGTGCCGATTGCACCGCCCGTGTACTCGATAGCTAAGCCACTGCCTAATCGTGGTCCCAAATTGTGAGCCACGAAGGTGGCGAGATGTTATCTACCTCGGCTGATTTGCAGCAGGTCGTGGGTTTGATCCCGACCATGATGCCTGTATATGTGTAGTTTGTGTGTCTCTCTCCCCCCCTGGTCGCGTGGATTTTTAAAATCTGGATTCTTTTCCCTCCACATTTAGAAACATGCGTTTAGAGTATTTGGCTTTTCTAAATTTCCACATCATAAGCCACTTTATTGGGCTATCATTTGCGGGCAGGTCGCTTCTGAAAAATAACCAATGGGCTTCAACTTGTAAAATATTTGAAAAAAAGAGCTGTATTAGCTCACCGGATTCGTCCAGTATAAATAAATATTCTGATTCTGAAAAAAAAACCCAGTTACGTTTTAGTTTATTTATCGTGATTTACTTACCTTTCCTATACTTTACAATACCAAACGTTTTTTGTTGTTGTATTATTATTTGCTGTTGCAACTCTCCAACTCAACCTGAGTGAATATTTTAGAAAAAATATACCTTTCAACCCCTTCTCTGAATTGGTCTGAATTGGTCTGGCACCCGTGCCCTTATAAATATCAACGTTCATCGTACAAAGTCCCATCACAAGGGAGAAACACAAACAAATAGACAAAACACATTTATGTTGCCCATATTGAAACGGCTATACGTATGGACCTGAAAACTCAAACTCCCTGTACAAGAATAACCGTGTGAGTTAAGTATGGAAAAATGGCTTCACAGCTCAGGGGCCGTCCATAAATGACGTCACGCGATTTTGGACGATTTTTAATCCCCCCCCCCCCCCATCGTCACACGACGTCACAAAATTTCAAGCACCCCCCCTCAAATATGACGTCATAAAGCTCTGCCCCCCCCCCCAAAATAAAACATGCTTCAAATCGTTTTAAACTATTGTCATTGTAGTAGTGCGTATTTAATGCGGCGCAGCACTCTGATGTTGTAGGAGAAACCATTTATGAAAACGTCTACTTAATTAAGTAGAACGTGTTGTCTGTATTTATTTAAAGTTGCGCATTTGATGTGACGTCAAATTTCTCAAACCCCCCCCCCCTTCGGCACAAATCGTCACAAATATCTGACCCCCCCCCGCCCCCAAGGTGCGTGACGTCATATATGGACGGCCCCTCATCGGATATCTCCTCCAGTTTAAAGATTCTAAGTGAACTCAAATTTAATTTTGATTTAAAGCTTTCGTGACTGCAGTAATTCATATTCTTAGCTCTTTCGGTAAAGTCACGTTGATGGTCGAAACGTCGTGAGAAATTTTTATTGTTTTATGTACGTTTTATTATTTTATTGTTTCCCTTCAACGTGGTGACTTTACCGAAAGAGCCAAGAATATGAACTCCAAATTCCCTATAGCGTTTTCCCCCTACAAAGATAGCGGACAGGGATTGAGGGAGGGAGGGGCGTGGCATCGGAAGTGGCGTCACACGGCGCCGGAAGTGTTGGAGGAGGGAGGAGCTTCAGCAGCGGCGGCGGCGGCTGTAGGGGGTGGAGAAGGAGGCTGAGGCAATGGCGGGCGTGGGTTTGGAGTTCGTGGCCTCGGCCGGTGCGAGCGACCCCCAAGAGCGGCCCGTGGTCTTCCTGGGGCAACTTCAGAACCTGCAGAAGCTGGCGTGGACTCAGATACGAGGCAAACTCGAGCCTCGCGTCTCGGAGGAGGTACGCCTTGTTGCACGGCTGTACACATTGTATGTTAAGCTGTACGTGCTGCACGGGAGATGCAGCGATGGGGGAGGTCATTCTCGGCGTGCGGGATTATTGGTGATCGCTGTCGGCAGGCGTGGCGCGACGCGCTTGCGGGAAGCCCGGTTAGCCAGGCAGCGGAATTGAGCGTGGCTTTATGGTTGCATAATTGCCCTGGGATGAACTGGACCGTCATGGTAACGGTGAGTTGACGGCTGCCAGACGGGTGGGTTCAGTGGCAGCTGACGGCACTGACGCGCGGAGACTCTTTGACTTAATGTCACTGCAGCGCTGGGAGGAGTGGTTGCCGCAGTGAACTGTTAAACCGGTTGCTTGCGTTAAAAAAACCGGTAACCGCATGGGGGTAAAAAAAATTGGGTTAAAAACGGTTACAGGTTTTTTTTTTAAACCGAGAAACGAAGAGTTGTCGCGGTGGGGTGTTTCGATGGTTAGTGTGCAATGGACTTGCAATCCAGATGTGTCGCCGGCTCAATTAAATCGCCCGGCGCGGCAGTTAAAATCAATG